GTGTGCCTTGGCAGTGTATCGGCATGTGAGTGTTCGGCTTTTGAAAACTATACATAAATCATCGAAGCAATGGCAGCAGTCAATGGTGTGCATGTGTGCGTGTGCGTGTGCGTGTGCGTGTGTGTGTGTGTGTGTGTGTGTGCGTTTGCGCGTGTGGATGGGTCCACTAGTGCCTCCAATGATGCCAAACAGGCCATGGTGCCACTATTCTGGCAGTGACACCATGATGATCTCTATTCTTCAGTAAATATTTTTTGCAAAGCTAGGCCGAAATAACTATTAAATGGATTTCCACAAAATGTGTACAAGCAATTGTGGGCCATACAGGACGAAGTTTACCATCTGGGTGTTACATTAAGATTCACGAAGACCACCATTAGCTTTTTTTGCATTACATCAACCAACAGTGTTCTGCGTACAGAGGCTTCAGACATGTGTGGCGGTTTTTTTCTTGTACAGGATGACCAAATAAGCCCATTATCCTTGTGAGGAAATGATCCAGATGTGGCGTGTTGTTTCTCATTAGTGACATGCAGCTCACTCTTTTCCCTATTAAAAGAAATACTCTATCTTGGCCTTGTGTAGGACAGCTGGAGATGAGTACTCAGTTAAGTGGAAGAATAGAAATCAAAGCACTTGCCATCTTTTAGTGACGATTTGTCTAATTCTGGTATGTCCAAGGGAGGGGGGGGTTGGGTGGGTGAGAGATGAGCAGGGAGTTGGGGAATTAGGAGATGGTGTGTTTGTGGTGGGGGATGAGAAGAGAGACAGAGATAAAGTATGTGTTTGGACCAGCTGCACAGCAAATCTGTTTATTCTGCACAATTTGGCATCAAACACAACAGACTGCTGAGTGCCTGCTACTGCTTGTGGTGCCCCATTAAAAGGGAATTTATGGCTGCCTTTAGAGCAAGCCCGGATTACACATTTTCCGTCCTCCTCCCTCTTTCTTTCTCTTTCATTTCCTCTTCTTCTTTTTGCCGGCTGTGGTGATGGTAGTGGTGTGTTTTTTTTTACTTCGATTTCTAGCGGCAGCTGTCAGACAAGTCGTCAAAACGGCTCATTACAGACCCAAACGGGCACGTATGGTTGGCATGCCCACCTTTACCTGTCAGCCATCTCTGCCATCTCCACTGTCACTCCACTGAGTGGTGCTCAGACATCACATTGAAAAGAGCCTGCCCTGGTGGCATCCCATGGACTCAGTATACACAATAGTATACATGTAATATTGTATAACCCCCTCGGAGGCATTTTGTTGAGAGCTGTGTCATCGGAACAGGAAGACATGTCATCTATGTTGTGTGGGTATTTAGAGGACAGTTTAATGACACATATTTGTCTCATTTCTTCCAAGATGACTGAAATAATCAAGTCCCTGCTTACGCTTTATAACATCATGAAGCTAACAGCTTTTACCCATTTAGTTTGCATTCATTTGTAGCCAGACTTTGAACTTGTGCTGTAAAGAGAGCGTGAACTCGGGCCCACATCTCTCTCCATAAATCTCCTCGGCCAATGATAAATTCATATTTAATGACCATGGCCATCGTCTGGGAATGAGGAGCATTCTTTCATTATTGCCTCTTTCCCCTGCTGCTTGGTCGAGATAATTGATTTCTCTGTGGTAACAAGGTATCGACCATGCATGGTAGCCGGCTAAGACGGCAGTTCGATTCAAAGGAGGGGTGGAAAGGGGAGAAATAATATAGAGGGGAAGAAGAGATGAGAGCAGGAGCATTGAAAGCCAACTAGCCGTGCAATTATTTGCAGTTAAAAAAAACTCCCTGGCTTTAGGTGGGTGTAGATTGGACAATGACTCTTGTCTTGCTTTAAGGGCTATTATAGGCCTAGCGCAAAAGGCACAGGATATTTCAGTGTTGTATGTTGTAGTCACCAAATGGAAAGCATATTGATCACACAATCTGACACATAATAAACTGAAAACAGTGTCAGAAACAAATCTGGAGGAGCACTTTTCAAGCACATGCTTAGGCTGCTAAAGAAGCAGTATATTGGTCCTCTTGTTCATACATTTGAATTATTAATTTTATGTACTGCCTCTTCTCGCTGCACATTTGGATGTGATTTCAAAAGCAAATCTGCATGATCTCTAACCTGATAATAGTGAACAGGTTTAACAACGGCACAGTAGGAACATAGACATGACCCCAGCAAGTAACAGAATATGTAAAACACTGTGTTTCATGTAGCAAAATACATATACAGGAAAAGTTATATACAAGACATGAAAGAAACATTGGTCTACCGGTTAACATGGCTTTTTTCCCCCTAACAAACGTATTGATTAGACGGGTGGATTTTGACTGGCAGTTATTGAGTTGACATCTTTGAGGTGCCGACATTATTGACCTGGAGCAGGCGGAGCTGCAGACGCCCACTACATGCTACACAGCGAGGGCTTGACACATACTGTATTTTCAATCAGTCAATAACTACGCTAAACCTTATGAATTGAATAATGTAGAGATTGTATTTGGCTTGCAGAGATGGCAATAGTTCTGTTTCTGGTTCTTTTTGGCATCACTGCCTACAGGTCACTCTATAAATAGAGGAATTAAATAGTGCTGCTGCTGTTGTTGTGTGTTTACCAGCTTACATTTTAATTTATTTAAGAGCTCTTAATAGGACTAGTTACTCATTTGGCCCTCGTTGGTCCCACAGCAGAGTGGAGCTCTATCACTGCACACAGGGGCATGCTGGGATATGGAGCTGCAGAGACACACTGTACACAGCCAGCTGTTTGATGTCTACAACCGCCGAGCGTATGCTGCACCGTACAGCATAAATAAACACACAATCCCCCGATGAGAGGACAGATCGACACACAGGAGACCTTATTTCAGGCTAATGAACTATTAATGCTGATTTGAAATTCAAAAACAAATTCCGAGGGTCTTCTCTGCAGGCGTTCATAGCTCTTTGTGTGTGTGAGAGAGAGAGATAACAAACTCATTTGGATGAACTCTGCACACCATATTTTCGTTTCTCCCCCAAACAGCTGGGCTCAGATCTCAAAGGGACTTGTGTGTTGTTGAAGCACTGTATTGCATGAAGCCATACAAAATGTATGTCAATGGGTTCAGCCTGGTTTAGCACTCTCAACAGTAAGTGTTAATGGAATAACTATAAGATGTATAAATGATCCCTGCTTTAATTCATAATAATGTTGGCCCTCATCGCCTGCCCACTCAGCCCAATAGATTATGGAAATGGCTGTAATGACTATTGGAACAATGAGCCAAATTGAATTATCATTCACCGCCACATCGGCTTTGGAATTACTGAAGCTGCTCTTTTGTTTCTTCAGACGATTTTAAATTTTAAAAAAACATTACATTTCCACCAGGAAAATGAGTGTTAACATATAGGTTTAAGGCTGCACGCATTAGGCATTAACAGCATAGGCCTACTCAGTTGTGTTACCCTGATATTGTGTAATGAGGGTCCACAACACAAATCCATATTCACGTGTTTTTTCATTTAATTGCAAAACAAAGCCTACATGTATGCCTCACATGCTCTAGGGCCTCATTCAAGCAGAGTTCATTGGAGCACATGTATGAAGAACACACGCCAAGACAAAAGGACCAGTTGTTTGATGTTTTATTTTGAGCTCAGATATGAACTTTTGTGTGATCTTATTTGAGCTAAGACATGTTTAACATTCATTGCACAAAATCTTTGGTGACAGTTACTGAATTATTTAAACTACATTACATTAGAGACACCGTATAATGGCATCAAAGTGTACAAGAGTGTATAAAACATGCAGTATTACTGGAGTACAACCACAAACATTGCAAATGTCTTCATTTTTAGGCAAATCATGATTATATTTGGTTTTAATGACTGAATACTGTGAATCTGGTTTCATCAACATAAATAGTTCTCTTCTAAATAACTCATACTTAATTAAGGATGTCATCATCACGCTGAAATCTGGAGCTTGTAAGAAGCGTGACCGTGAGAGCAGCACGCTAGGAACAAGTCAGAGGAAGTGTCACTTCCTGTAAGAAAACTACAGTGATTAAAATACTGATAGCGCATGCAAATTAGTTTTTAGATTAAAACATTTAAGAAGCACCAGATTTTAGTTTGTGATGACCACACAGATGTAATCTCAGACCTCTGTTTGTGAGAGAGAAAAATGTTGACTCAACTGAATAATTTACAGTTTTCCAATTATCGGCTGATTGTAATGAGTGTCAGTAACTCTAACTTTTTTTTGCATAATATACAGTAGATCATTGGTTAGGGCTTGCCTATCAAAAGTGGTGCAACAGCAGCCTCTTGTGGCGTGTGTTTCCAGGTAGAAAACACATTTACTCGGATTGTTACACAGACTGTGCAAAATGCAACAATACTCTCATTCTGTATCAGTGTTAACATTGCAGTAGTGTTAAAATTGCAGTAAAGTATATATATTGCCATGTTTGTTATACTTCATAGGACACAATCACATAAATATAAAACAAAATGTTAAAATCAAGAAAACAAAAAAAGGATATCAGTTCAAGGACAATGACAACCGATGCCAATACACAAAGAGACACTGGCCAATAATAAAATGTCTTTCCTCTTTATCCAATGCCACTGTTTTCTTCACGTTTGCTCGAGCCCCCCCCCCCCGTCACTGCGGTTACAACCACAGGTTCAAAGATGGCCGCACACAAGTGAATGCATAGCTATGGTAATCAAACCAAAGAGTAAAACACAAAGCACAATCCGTGAATTGTTGATAACGGTTGCTTGGTCAAAGCCTTCAAACCTCGTACAATCATATAGATGTCCCACAGTTTTGGTATAAAAAATAAATCATTAGTAATCAAAGATATAAAAACATAGTTGTGCAGGAATCTTTTCAAAGAAGAAATCTGGTTATAAAGTCTGTTATAAAAGAGTTACATGCTAAAAATTACACAGTAGTTTTCCCACATGATTATGTGAACATTGGCTATATTCAGTTATTGCAGTAGGCATCCCAGAAGTACAATATGGGTGGTGTTTTTTTTTCTCCTTTAGCATTACTTCAGCTGTGGAGAGGCGAAGAAGTTGCCCTGGCGATGACAGGCAACTGACGCTTTGCTTTTGCTCCCAAATCTGAAAGATGAGGGGGACGTGAGTTAAAATGTCAAGCTTAGTGAAACTCGTTTTAACAATCGCAATGTGAAGACAAATGTTTTGAGGTTCAGTCTAAAACTGGAGCTTAATCTGACTGTAAATAATTTAACCAGATCTTTAAAACCTCTGTGTCAAACTGTTAACACAATGCCTTGGATTATGAAATGTATACGACATTTTGTCCCGTACATGCATTCATTAATTTAAAGCAGAATGCTAAATGATTATTAATAATTTAGTTTGGAATATTGTGAACATTATCTCGATTTTTTATATAAAGTTAATACCAATATTACAAGATCATTTTATTTATAATTCAAGCCAATAAATTGATGGCCCTGCACTTTTAGTACACAGGTGTTTTCACTTATGCCAAATTAGACCTCCAGGACATTTTGACTTGTCATAGTAGGGAAAGCACTGGTGCTACTAATAACATTAACGATAGCTCAGTTCAATAAAATGTCCAAGAGAAGCAGCAAAGGTAATACCAGGACCCTGAAACTGAAGCTGCCAAATTGAATTCCACTATCAGTCATTTTGTTATGTTCTTTTGTACAGGTCAAGGTGAAATGTGTAAAATATAAATTTCATGTAGAAGGAATTAAAATGTGTTTCACAAGCCCCTTTGAAATATAAAAACTGTAAATTACCTGTAAGAGAGAGGGGAGAAATGTAATAAGTAATGGTGTGATTCCAAATGTTCTATTCATTTCAGCAAAAAATGTACATTCATAGTCATATTAGTGCCAATCATAGTTTTTACCATCCTCACATCAGAAAGTTAGTTATCCAAGGTCGACAAATGAATGACCAACTTGGACTTTCTCACTTAAAATAAAAAGGCAGCGAGATGATAATTAACAAAATAATTGGTTACAGGCTTGCTTGGATTAGGCTAGGTGACATTTGAAAAAGCTAGCCCTACTTTGTCTCTGATATCCATTAACAGACCCGAGTGAGAGAGAAGGAGTGAGCTTACATGCTGGTGCTGGAGAGGGTCTGCTTCATGCGCTGGGACAGCGAGCTGGAGGAGGGGGTTTTGGCCATCATCTGGTGCTCTGGAGTGGTCAATGGTCCCAATATGCTCACTGCAGAAACATTGAAGATCATTTGTCATCCAAAGATGATGAGTACAACTGCTCAAATAAAGTGTTATACTCTTTAAGGTCATATCATGTGTAACATATAAAACGTTTAAATTAAATAGAACACAATGTCTTATTTCTATCCACTCTTTCAATGATTTACCTTGGTGGTGGTCTGGAGTTTCAGTTTGGTGAGAGCTGCCGATGTCAGTATAATCAGGATAAGCAAACTGGCCCCAGTAGTCAGCTGGAATAGAGAACAGGCGCTCCATAACCTAGAAAGACAAAGTAAATCCAGTAAGTGTAGTCACAAACATTCTTAATCACATAAAATAACATTTCTACATAATAACACTGATCTTGAAGTGAACAAAAGCACACAAACATCCATATATTTCACCATTGTGCTGCTGTATAAACAGTGGACTGTGAATGTCTCATTATTATTATATTATTAGCAACTTACATACTCAATACTGTGGGCAATCCCCACAGGAGCAATTTGGGGTGAAGTGTCTTGCCCAGGGACACAACAACATGCTGACTGCAGTGGGGTTTGAACCTGTGCTCCCCTGATCCGAACACCAACGCACTATCCACTGCGCCACATGTAATGTAGTCAGAGCAGTTATTCTTTACTCTCGTTCACTTTACCCTTGGTTGTCTGCTTGTGTCATGCAGGATGGTCATTGGTTCTGGTTCGGGAACAGCATGGCCCACAAGAGTCGGGCCGAACACTCTGGCCAGGTTGTTCATATCCATCTTAGTATCCACACACTGGGAGACCCTTGGGAGGAAAAAGGGTGAAGGGAAATGTCAGTCCTAACTGAAATGAAAGATGACCTGTACTGCAGAGATGTAGGAGGCGTTACAGAGCTAGGACTTTGCAAGAGACAATAAGAACATTCTATGGAACCATAATCTTTGACGAAAAAACGACATTGTTAATCATCAAGATATACTTAAAACTCTTGGAATCACTGAGATTATTTTACCTTACATTTAGTTAAAGAACATACATTTTGTTTTGCCCCACAATGTTGTTTTGTGAACATCCTTTTTAGTCAAAACTAAATAAAGAAATCATATGATCCCCTGAATAAATAATAAAACAGGGCCCATTTTTCACCACAACAAGCTGGACAACATTTTGAAGCCACTTGTGAAAAAAGAACAAGATTATCCCTGTAATGGCAACTCACTATGATCAACATACTGTGGTCATTGTTAATCCTGAGACACTATAAAGTGCCGTTTACACGAGAACGCAAACGGTTGTATCCGATACTTTCCTCTTTTGTATAGTCCGTTCGTTCAGACGAGGCCGTAACGGAAACGCGGAAACGGACCCCGCAAACGATAACGGGTCCCAAGGTGGATAGTAGGGCTGTACCCGAATATCCGAATATTCGTTCGTTGGAGTAATATTCGGGTTTCAATTTCGTTATTCGGATATTCGTTTTGTTTGTTTTTTCCCGTTTTTTNTATTTAAGTTAAGTTAAGTTTTGCCATAATCATGTCTTTTTCCATAATCAGGTAGCTGAACAACATTGGTAAAAAATGTATACATTATATATATATATATTTCTATTAATCATTTTCGGCCTTTCGGCATTCGGTTTTCGGCCAACTGTTTCCTATTTTCGGTATCGGTTTCGGCCAAGAATTTCCCATTCGGTGCACCCCTATTAAACACAGAGGCAACAATAAAAAAAAAACATCTATGTGAACAGCATTAGAAAAATACAGGCCAGATGTACCGACTAATGACGTTTACACTTATACACATTTTGTTTTTGACCGTATTTTAGATGAATAGAATTGAGAGAAAGGAACAAACCATCCATCTTAAGCAATGTCTGCTCTGCTGATTTCCCTCCGGGGTCATGTTGCATCACATGGATACAGGAGAGGCTCTGACAATGGATAAGGGGCATTCAGTTATGTGGATTTAATTTCAACATGTTCATTAACATATGAATGACAGCGTAATGACATGCATGGACAAGTGTACCCCTCAAAGCAACATCTGTTATAGGGCTGATTACATAATGGCAACTGCATCAACATATTGATTGCTAAATTGAGGTTAAGGGACACGATAATACAGTGGTGTAAAGTAATTAACTAAGTACAGAAATATTTCAATTTTCTGCTACTTTGTGCTTCTACCCCACTAGAATTCAGTGGTAAATAGTGTCCTTTTACTACATCTTTTTAATACGTTTAGTTACTTTGCAGATTTTGATTAATAATGAGAAATATAAGCAACACTTAAATAAGACTTTAGTTACACCTGGAGCAATTATAGTAAACAACATATAATATATTCATCTGAAATGGGCCAATTTGCATAATGAGTACTTATATTTTGATGACACTACTTTTGTACTTTTACTTGAGTAACATTTTTAATACAAGACATTTACTTGTAACAGAGTATTTCTGTAGAAACAACATCTACAGTGGATTAAAGAGGTACAATCCGAATGAAAATCAGATGATAAATATATATATTTCAATATGATAGTGTCACAATAAAGCCACTTACCTCCCATTTGTCAGAGAAAGGAGGGGGTAGTTGTGTTGTGATCCATGATCCCTCCTGAGATGTATTGTACCCTACAAGCTGATGTCTGGCACTGTAACCCAAAACATTCTCACGCCGGGTCACATCGTGACACCAAGGGGAGAAGAGAGAAGGTGGACACAAACACACAACTTGGATATTCAGAACAAATGACCATATCGTGATCCTCTTCACGGTAAAGTGTCCCTGAAGCATTCGTAAGTCGGTGTGCCACTCTCCCCAAGGAGAGCCGCTAGCTAGTTAGCTGGGTGGGTGTCTGGATGTTGCCCCTGATAAAATCCGCGATGCAAACATTTCCACCGTTTTTTCTTGAGAAACATTGGTTGTAGCAGCTAATCTAACTATCATTAACATCTCACTTGTGTGCGAATACTTCAGGAGATGCTATGAAAGTTGTTAAATAGTTACACAACAATAGGTCCATATTCGCCGTTGCTGCACAACTTCGGAAAACATTTCCTAAATTTGGGAAAAAACGGACAACTTCTAATGCCCCGTTAATAACAACGTACACAGATGTGTTTCCGCTTAAGGCTTTCCAAAATAAAACAATGTAGGCTAGCCCGTGAGGAGACTGAAACTTTCAACAACTAAAATATAGAAATAAATCTGCCAAGAAACCACACCTAAACGCCGTGAGTATTAATAGTATCAACCTGTATTTGCGTAAGGGCTTTTTCTACCAAAAGCCATTATTATGCTTTTATGTTGAAGGCTAATTTATCTTTTTCCGGCCAAATGTGAGCTAGCTCTCCTGTCCTCCTGCCGCAGCTCTGTCCTTCTCTTAAAATCTCCGTGTTACCATTGTACCATTGGCCAACATTTAAGTTTGTCTTTAGGGGAAATACGTTATACTGGAAGAATTTGTACCAAAGTGTAGGTTGTATTTGTTTCAAAATCGAAAACCTTTAAAAGAAAAAAAATGTGTAAAACTTATTTGAGCAAGAAGCTTCGGCGTGAACAGCAAGATGCTACTTTCTTCGAGATGAGTTGATAACGTTAGCTGGGTGAAGTGGACAAGATGCTAACAAACATTACATTAGTTTTCCCTGTTTGATGAGAGATGACAGAGCAGAACGTGATAGCGGGATGCAGCAATAATGGGTTGGTCAGTTTCGCAGAGTCGCTGCACATCTACACTGGACTGTTAACTGTGGCGACAGTGTGTGGAGGGCTTTCGGGAATATTAGCTGCAGCTCTGTTATATGTCTTCTGCCTGAAGCCCTTGCTGTTGACGAGACAAGTAATCAAATGCACTACACACCCAGTCTTTTTCTTTACCAGGTATCATCTATACATTATATTACGCCCTTGAACGTAACATATTGTCGTGTATCATCCCATTAGGGTCACAATGCAAGGCGGCTGCTTGAACCTGATGATGGAGAATTAGAAAACAACCAAAGTGACTGTATCAGCAACAGCAGGAAGGAGGCTCCAAGTGGCACCACAAAGGAAAAAGTACTATTCCCTGTTCAACTGTTACTTTGCATAGCTGTACACTCCTAATTACATGAAATATAAACTGCTAAATTGATGTAACATGACTGCCATATGTTAGGTGATGTGTGGCACAGGACTCTGTTAATGCTTATTTCAGGGTTACCAACTTGTGATGCATAACAATGCATTTCCCACTAACAGTATAAGTCTGTTTATTTTTTGTCCAGGAAAAGAAACAGCCACCCGTGAGGAGCGATGTGGCTGCATTTGCATCAAGAGCAAAGGTGGTTTATCCCATCAATCAAAAATACAGAGTAAGTCTATCATAAATGATGACATACACTTTCTGCTCCTTACACAAAGTAATGAACTGAAGGCTCATGTGATTGGTCAATCATTTTATTTTTATTTTGTATGCACAAATAACTGTATAAGTTGTATTGTGACTTTAGTATACTAAATTATATTAAATCAAGAAAGCAAAATGTGTGCTGTTCAAAAGAAATGGTAGAATAAGAGTAGGTAGTACACTGTAAAGTAATCCAATGTTAAGTAAGGTAGAAACAATTATGTTTAGTTAGTTTGTGTTTTAATTTAGTTTGTGTATTGTACTTAAACACTGACCTGCAAGCTTTCACTGGATCTGTCAGCCTTTAGCAGATGGAGCGTCTAATCCATCATTGCATGAGCACTCCAAGTTGCCAGCAATGCCTAACGACGACTCATCCTCCTCCACTGACGGAGACTCTCTGAGCCAAGAGCAGGACAACGACGACAACAGCAGTCAGTTTATCTCCTCCTCGCTCGTCCCCAAGAGTCTGCAAAACCAGAGCTTCTTCAGGGTCTCTCACTACCCTCAGACACTGACACAACCAGGGTAGGAACCAGGAGTCTTAAAATGTTGAACCTCAACCGTAAATCTTAGTTTGCACAAACCAAAGTTGGCTGTATGTGAGGATATTTATTTTGTTATCTCTCCAGTTTTGAAGGCAGGATCAGCCTTTACTGTTTGGCCCTGCAGGATATACAACAACAGTGCTCCCAGCTTCAGGAAGAAAAATGTCTTGTGAGTTTTTTTCATCTTGGCTTAATAAAATAGTTAAAAAGATAGTAGTTGTATTTTTAACTTGATTCAGTATAGTTATACTAATGATATATGCATATTTCTTTAAATAGGCAAAAGTTAAAAGGGCGTTACATTTCCCTTGTTTCTTTTATCCTGCAAATAGATGTTTCTTCAAATGCTGAAAGTAATGTTCAGCAGTCGCTTTCCAAAAGACAAAAATGATGCTGAATTCTCCAAGAATATTCTTCAAATGCAAGAAAAGGTACAGTCAAATCAAATGTATCGTACACATCCGTACACACACACTAAAATACTTTCTCTTGTAGATACACCATGAAAAATATTGTTATCTGTCATTTCAGGAACTGAATGAGCTAAAGAAACAGTTGCCAAAAGGCCACAATGACAGTGAGAAAGATACCGATGCTCCCTGTACTTTGGAGGAAATAGAGAGAGCCCAAAAAGATCTTCTTGAACGTGGCCTGCAAGTGGTAAAAGCAAAGAGATAGTCTGCTAAACCACCTTTATTTACAATGACTGTTCTGATAGGAAAACTAATGCCCGTGTCTCTTTACAGTCCAGAGGTTTCAGCAGACAGGTGGAGGACTTGGGCCAGCATCTGCTGAAGAAGACCAGCATTTTCTCTCCAGATGAAGCACAGGAAGTGTTTCTCTCTCTCATCAAGACTCTTCTGTTAGTAGAGAACCACCTGGTGAACACACAAGAAGCGGATCTCAATGTAATGCAATACGAGCTATTGATTTGCACAGCATTCATTCTGCTTCTCATCCTCATATGAGGAACATAATGTACTAATGGGAAAGTTGCTTTCCACTTCTCTTAGAGGATCCAGCAGAAGTTGATGTGGTGGGAGGAGCTGGCGGGGCTTATTCAATCCCAACCTGCCTTGCTGAAGAGGGAAGTGTCTCTGAGGCAGGGCTTGATAGCAACAACACTGGAGCAGCTGACGAGCGATGACATGTTGAGCTTTAGCCACATGGAAAAGATCCTTTCAGAGGTTCAGGACACTCTGACCGAAGGCCTTCAACAGTGCACTGAGGGTAAGATGCAAGTAAACATTG